TTTACAATTTACGAAGATTAGCTTTTGAAAGGATTCAGGTTTCAAAGGAAAGTGCAGAATCACTTGGATGGCTGATACAGATTTTTTTTTTTTTAAATGTAGTCCCAAATCTTCACTGCATTGCAAGCGGATGTAGACGTTCTTCCCATCAAGAAACAGAACCATCCCCCTATATGTAATCTGAGGTGGCTTTTATGACTTTTTTGGGCTAAAGAATGTGGCCAAAGTGGTATTTTGCCTGTTCGGAACATAAAGGGGACTCGGATGACGTCGTCCTTAGAGACGGTGCTGCTAGCTCCACAGCCACACCTCTCTGTTGGTTCAAACCCACCAGTCTACTTTGTGGAACAAGATAGGTAATATCCTCCCCCGCCCCTGCCCCCCATTTAAGGGAAAAGTAAAGATAGGCTTATAAGAGGGTTGGGCCCCAAAGCTAAGATGGAAAGAAATGTGGAGGAGGCCGGGTAATATCCTCTTGCTCAGTAGACAGCCTCTGAAGGTCCACTGACGTGAGAGTCAGCTATGTGAGTCAGTTCTGAATCAGCAGGAGTGACTTTTTTTGAGCCTAAAGCTCCGGAGGCCCCACCTGTGTTGTTCTGTCTCAGGACCTGGCTCCCATATTGTTCTGGCCCAGACAGTCAGGCAGCTTCTAACGGGCAGCTGACCACCCAACCTGTAAGAGAACCTAGTGCAGACCAGCAAAGCCTTCTGACTGACCCTTCCGCTGGTGCACAAGAAAGTTCTGCTAGAGACTGGTCATTCCCAGGTGAAGCACTGCCTCGTGTTGTTGTTGTTGTTAGGTGCTGTAGAGTTGTAGACGACTCATAGCGACCCTATGAACGAAAGACCTGAGCACTGCCTCATGTTGTTGTTTAATGTCGTCGAGTCGTAGATAACTCATAGTGACCCTAAGAACAGCCTGAGCACTGTTCGTACACAGAGTTTCTGGAGGCAAGCCATTTCGGAAGTGGATGCCGCTCCTGCTTCCAGGCGTGATTTAGTCGGGAAGCTCCAGCCAACACTGTCCACCATGGGTGCCCGTTACCACGATTGGCACATCACTGTCACAGTCTTCAGCATCACAGCAACCATGAGTTACCTCTGTACAGCAACACACAGACCAGTGCTATACCACCTAGAAGAATGTTTGACAGGAAGACAATTTGAACCTGGGCTTAAGGCCGCCTCCTGGTTCAAACCCTAGGCCCAGGTTGGCTAGCCTCACTCCAGGGACAGAGCAAACCTGCACGTCAAACACATTCCTGGAAAAGCATTCAACTCCAAAAGCTTGCCACGATTCAACAATAATTCTTTTTAAAAAAAAAAAAACAAACACTTTAAATTTGGTTTGTTTACAAAGTTCGTATACATTGTATTTCATACTATTCTTCATTCATATTGCTTCATACAGTCATTCTCATGCATTATGTTTGATAAAATTAATCACCATCGGACTTTCTTGCCCACCATGTCCTCGTTAGCTGCTGTCCAGCTGGCTCGGACACAGTGACCCTGTGTACAGTAGATCAGTGTACATAGGTGTGCCTGTTCCTGCCACACCCGCAGAGTCTCTGCTGTGCTAAAGCCCACTGCTGTAGTCACCATGCCAGTCCATCTCACTGAGGATCTCCAGTTTCCCATCCTTGATTTGTTTTCCAGGGACATCAAGGCCTCTCGTGATAACATGTACAAAGTATATGCAATGAACTCTCACCATCCTGGCTTCTAAGGAGTGGTGACAGGCACCTCTTGTTTTAAGCTACAGAGTTGTGTGGTTCCTCGCATGTAGCAGTAAACAAGTGATACAGTGACTTGAAAGACATCTCTGAATCTCCAAGAAATAGATTAGTAAGACCTGGACTTCCTCCCTCAGGGAAGATTTTCAGCTGTTGTGCACATGTTTGTTGAGTGTCTGCCTCCATGGCACTAAGGGGAGCCCAGGTAGCATAGTCTGTAGGGGGTTGTGCTTCCCACCAAGGTGGCACCTCTCTGGAGGTTGGAATCTACTAGAGTCAGTGGCAGGAAGATGGGCGTTCTCCTGCCATGCAGCATACAGCCTCAAAAAGCCCACGGGAGGGTCAGCTGCCAGTCAGTTCTGACTTGACAACAATGAGGTTTGGGGTTTTTTTGTTTTGTTTTTAAACTAAGCATTGAGCTGAATCCTGGGCATTCACAGGTTGATTCTGTTGTAGGACAATGTCAGCACCTCCATTTTCTGTTTATAGTCACTCTGTAAAAAGCCAGAGTGGACACTTCTGCTTGGATGGAAGAGGGTTGGGTCAACAGGCTCACCTTGAAGGCAATGGCCCAGCCATCCACTTACTGCTTCACTCCATAGATTTGTACATAAACCCTCTTCCTGACTTTCCCCACTAAGTTAATATATGAATCTTCTCCCCACTTTTTAACTAAATTCTAGGAGTGGGCAAGAGAGTGAATTCAACCTCTACAATGAACAGTCATTTGAGACCTAGACAGTGGGCATGATGGAGTCCACATTGCAATGACACCGTCCACCCTCGTGCATCTTCCCTCCTAGTGAAGGAGACGGACATGCCAACGGGTCACAGTGACACACTGAGCCACCTCCTCCCTCAGCTCCCATATCTCATCCAGTGGCCAGGGCTGTGTCTTTACCTCTAACCCCCACATCCACTTGCTTCTCTCCTATTCACTGATCTGAAACCATTGTCACTTGTCCCCATAGATTTCCGACTGATCTCTTTGTGTTGGCAGGTCCTGTCAAGTCAGCTGACTCACAGCGACCCTATAGCAGTGGATCTGAACGAACCCTGCCCTGTCTTGTTCCGTCCTCATTGTCTCTGACACACTTGAGCCCACTGTTACAGTCACTGTGTCAATCTGTCTCATTGAGGATCTTCTTCCACTTCGACCTTTCCAGTCATAATGCCCTTTTCCAAGGACTGGCCCCTCCTAACACCATAACCCAAGTATGTGAGATGAAGCTTCACCGTCTGTGTCTCCAAGGAGCACCCTGACTGCACGGCAAATCCTCAAATATTCCATTCACACTCACCAGCTACTCCGTGGGAGAAAGATAGGCCTTCTCTTCCTGTGTGATTTAGTGCCTTTGAAAACCTGCTGGAGGGTCAGTTATGAGTCACTTCTCTTTTTTTATGTTTTTTTTTTATATTTTTTTCCTGAGTCACTTCTGACTCAGTGGTACATAACAGCAACACACCCAATACAGAGAACACAGCTTCTTCCTTTGCCAAAATTGCACCACTGTTCCTTCCAGTTGTCTTGCTTTTAGAAGTCAACCAGCAACAAACAAAGGCAGCTGGAATGTAGTTTCTGGATCCCATAAAACTTGCATCATCTCTGTCCTGCTAAGGGGCAGTTTGTCACTTTATTTACAGTTGCTTCTCCCTTAGCCTAGCCTGGCTGCAAGTAAATAATAAATCCTAGAGTCGGATTCCACCTTTCTGTTGCTTCATTTGCAGGGATGTTTATTTTTCCTTAAAATGCTCACATTAAAAACCTTGACAGCTCTGGAGGAAAGCATGCCATTGGCTCCAGTCGTCCACCAAGAGTGGGGCCCGGACATACACTGTGTGTAGGCTTCCACGAGGAGCAACACAGGGCAGACGTGTGTGGTGCGCTGCTTGGCACCACCGAACATCTGGCAACACAGGAGCTAGGGAAGGCAGTTATGTTTTTATTCGTTTTAGCGTTGTGCTAAATTGGCCATGAAACCAGGGATGAGGTGATTGAATTATAAGAGGATTGAAATATTAAATAAAAATTCAGGAGACAGTCAGGGCTCAAGGTGGGCTGGGTTCCAATACCCAAGCCCAAACCAAAAGGGGGGGGAAACCCCAAACAAACAAGAAAAAAGTCATAACAAATCAAGCACAAAAACAAAGTCCAAAACCAGCCAGCAGTTAGAACCTTTTGCTGTAAAGTGGATTCTCAAGTCTTGGCGGCCCCACAGCAGAGCTGCGCTCTATGGAGTTTCCAATGGCTATAAACTTAAGACAGTAGATGACCAGGCCTTTCTTCCGTGCTGCTCTCAAGTAGATTTTAAGCCCAGCATTTTGGTTAGCAGCTGAACAGTAACTGTTAGCACCACACAGGGACTTGGACTAATAGAGGTGAACACACTCTGGAAATGATGTGTGGCAAAGACAATATTATCCTTTTTGTTCCTATGATCATGCGTTGCTGAATGCCTTCTGTGCAATAGGACACAGTGTGAACACCCTAGTGCAATCCAGCCCTGCTATTTCTGTTAGCATCGTGAGTAAGCTTTGCACCTTAACAGTGATTGTCCACATGCTGGGAGGGGTTCCCTCTTGTGTGGGGTTCTCAGGCCACGTGTCATTGGCGGTTTCTTCGTATCTGGTAAAGGTCCCTCTTGTATTTTCATTGACCTCATAACTTTCAGGAGACCAGCCTGGGAAGTTCTTTCTTTTTGAGGATTTTGTTTGTTTGTTTTTGTGGTTGTCTAGTGTAACAAGGCTGCATTGCAAGCAGTAGCGAACACTGATTTTTCCACTTTCTTATTGTTTGAATAATGTTCTGTTTCTCTTCCATATCGATATGCCTCCTTTGCCTCTTGTGGCAGCTCTCGGCAGCACCAACACTGGTTTTGCTGTGATTAGGCACCAGGGCGCGCATTACAGCAATGTTTTCAGAAGAAAATGAAGTAGAGAAAACGCTCCAACACTTAAGAGCTGTGTGGTTCTCTAGATGTGTTACTATTGCTTAGGCGTTGACGCACATGGTGTTACATGGTGGACTTGTAGATAGGGAGTACAGCACATACACAAGCCAGTCATGTATCGTGCTTGTCAGGACCCCCTTAAAGGTGGTGGTTACTGTTGTCAGAGGCTATTGAGTCGAGCACGACTCATGGGAACCCTGTGAACAGCTGACCTTCTGCTTCATGTTTAGGATCAACAGGGCTTGGAATCATCACCCCATAGTCTGCTCGCCATTGTCAGTCGTCTGCAGGGTGTTCTGTAGGGCTCACTTACCGGCTCCGTTTAAGGTCTTTTTTGAGGTTGATTATTTCCTTGTCCATGTACTTGATGCTCTTGAGTGGTTTCTCTGGAACCTAATGGAAGCCAGGGAGAGAGGGAGGGAAGAAGGGGGGGAGAGAGGGAGGGAAGAAGGGAGGGAGAAAGAGGTGCAAAGTGTTAATAGATCTGTAAAGTGTTAACAGAGCTGTAACAAACAGCTAATTTCTAAGGGTTGCATTTCACCTGGAATGGCTGGCCCAGGTTTGAGGGGCCCTGGGCAGCACAGAGGTCATCTCTGCACCAGAGGAACTAACAAGGCTTTGCAGGTGGGCAGACCTCAGCTCGGCTCCTGGTTCTGCCCATTTGCTAGCCTTGCGACATGGGCACATTACTCAAGCCCTCTTGTGCCTGTATCCTGTAAAATGGGGAGACAACCCCTCCCTTACCAACAAAAAGATTGGATTGTCAGATTCCCAGCAAAGCAGGCATTCATAAATGGCAGCTATTATAAACTGCCAAATAAACAAACGTGTCTTGGAGAAAGTGTAACCAAGGTGCTTCTTAGAGGCAAGGATGGTGAAGCTTCATCTCATATACTTTGGGCATGTCGTTAGGATGGAGCCAGTCCTTGGAAAAAGACATCATACTTGGAAAGGTGAAGCGTCATTAGAAAGAGAGGAAGAGCCTTGATAAGATGGATTGGCACAGTGATAGCATCATGGGCTCGAGTTCTCAGAGGATGGCACAGGACAGGGCAAGGTTCCTAGGGTGGTTATGAGTTATAGTCGGCTCGATGGCATTTAATGACAGCATTCTTCTTAGCAAGGAGCCCTGAGCTGTGCAGTGCTGATGTGCTTGCTCAGTTAGTTGCAAACCAAAGTTCTGCAGTGCAAACCCACCAGCCCTTCTCTTGGAGGAAGAGGTGACAAAACGCTTTCTTCAGGATATTAAGTTCAGAAACCCTGTGGGACAGGTCCACCCTCCACAGCACCAGATTTTTGCTTAGTAGTAGTAGTAGTATATTTGGGAAACCTGGAGAAACCATGTAAGTTATACAGGTGTTCAGATCTTTTATTCATAGGGTCACTATGAGTCACCTACAACTTGACGGCACTTAACAGCAACAACAACAACGACCACGAGAGAGCTCAGTTGGCATAGTGGACAGAAAGTGATGTTACTAAGCCAAAGATGGGTGACTTTAATCTGCGGTCCTCAGGCCTGGTTTTAATTGCTTTTCGTCAAACATTCTTCTAGGTTGTATAGACCTGGTCTGTCCACTTGCTGTACAGAGGTAACTCGTGGTTGCTGTGATGCTAAACACTGTGGCACTGATGTGTCAAATGTGATAATGGTTACCCATGGTGGGCAGTGTTTGGTGGTGCTCCCTGATTAAAACAAGCTTGGAAGCAGGAGTGGCATCCACTTCCGTAATAGCTTGCCTCTGGAAACTCTCTGGACTTGGAGAAATGATGAAAGTTATACAAGTGTTCAAGTCTTTCATTCATAGAGTCTCTATGAGTCGCCTACAACTTGATGGCACCTAACAACAACAACATTATAGTAAAAACGAAACAAAGAATGAAACCGTCATAACAACTGTTAATACTCATGGCATGAACTGTTGATCCAGAGAGCCAAATGTGGTAAAGATAAAGATGCAAAAGTAATCTTCCCCCTTTTCTGCCCTCATAGCAGGATTGTATAAGTCAATTAGCTACACAGTTGTTCGTGGGCTTCTCTCTCCCTTTCATTTGTGCTGACTAGGCAGACATCCTCACAACACTAAAATTCATTACACGGAGGTTGATACCAGGTCAGCATAGAGAAGAGAGTTAAATTAACTGTATTTTAATATAAAAGTTGTTTTCTCAGCCCTAAGTGTGGAGAAACAGTAAAAAGAATATCATATGGATTATCTGGTCTCAGAATGAATTCCTGCATTATTAGGATTTGGCTTTTAATAAAAAGAAATGCCAGGAAATTACGGGAAAATGAGCCTGCTCAGATGAGGCTGGAAAGAGAATACATTGGGATAGCTTTTTTGAAGGGTGATTTGTCAGCACATACCAGGTGCTTTTAAAAACAAGCATGTCCTTAGAGTTAACAGTTCCTTTGCTGTCAAACATCCAACTAGAAGGTATATTCCTGTGTGGGCATCTAGATTTATCAACAAAATTGCTTGACAGAATGTTGCTAGTCACAGCAAATTATTGGAACTGCCTGTAACATCTCCCCACTGTTATGGTCAGATGTCTGCGTCTCACAGTTGTTGTTGATTGCAATCTAGTCAAACGAGCCTGTGAACAAAAGACCTGAAGCCTTTCTATAACTATTGTCATTTTCAATGTTCTTAGAGTTTCCAGAGCCTTTTTATTTAGTAAGTGGATGGCAGTCCTGCTTCCAATGTCTCTTAGTAGAAGATAGTCAAGTGTTGTGCATCTGAGCAGCTGAAGAGCATGCAGTGATTGAGATATGATAAAAGCAATTACGTAACAATGTTTTGAAATACAGAGATATTTAAGGTTTTTTTTAAAGTGAGAAAAAAAGTGTGTTGTTTTTATGTGCTATTGAGTCAAGTGCAACTCCAAACACCCTCATGAATACATGAGTAACTGATCAAAACCTTTCCCTATTCTGTGCCTTCCTCACAATCTCCACTACACTTGAGCCTATTGTTGTGGTTACTATGGGTTGTTGTTGTTAGACGCCATCGAGGTGACTGCGATTTTTAGCAAATCTGTGAACAACAGGTCTGAACCGTAATTTACCCTCTTCTGCCCCTTCCTCACAGCTCTGCCGTGCTCAAGCCTGTTGTTACAGTCACAATCTCAGTCCATCTTCAGGGTCTTCCTCTGTTCTGCTTTTCCCAGCATGATGATGTCTTTGCCCAAGGGCTTGCCCCCTCCTGACAACATGCCCACAGCATGTGAGATTTAAGTTTCATCACTGTTGCCTCTACGTGGCTGGTGGAACATGCTTCCTTCAGCTCTCCAAATCAGGGGTGGGGAAGGAAAGACATTGACAGTCTGTCTGTTCCTGTAGAGATGATGGCTTTGAGGCAGTTTCACTTAGTCCTCCATGGATGCTATGAGTTGGAGTTGGTCCAGCTGCAGTGGGCTCCATTCCTCTCAAAAAAATTCATGTCACTCTGGACCCTCAGAATGGGACCGTATTTAGAACCAGGGTCACTGTCGATGTAACTAACAATCCTAAGATGACTTCATAATGGACCCTTTTCAAGCTTGGGAACCTAGAGTTGTAAACAACTCATAGCAGACCCTCTGGTAGGTTTTCAGAGGCTATAAATGGCACAGGAGGTGACTGCTCATCTTTTTCCAGCTGATGGATTCGAAGCGCTAGAGGTGAACTACCTTAGAGTTAGTGCGGCTCCCTTCAGACTATACCACAGGAGCCTCCGGGTAGATTCAAGGTGGACCCTAAACCCAGTGACCGAAATTCTTGTAAGAAGAGGAGAGGACCCAGAGAAAACAGCAAAGTGAAGGCGGAGGCAGAGTGATATGCTGTGTCTCGAAGCCAGGGAGCACCGTGAAGTGCAGTGACCACCAGAAACCAGGAGAGACGTCATCCAGAGGCCCCTCAGAACGTCCAGAAGCAGCCACCCTGCTCAAACTGTGATGTCACAATTCTACCCTGAGCTGTGAAAGAATGCATTTTTGTCATAAGCCATCTGGTTATCCCTGGTCAACCATCCAGAATGAGCCTGTGTGTGACCCTTTAGTTCTCCTTCTGTTGTGCACAGTCACTATGACCTACAGCCCACCTCATGGCAACCTGACGACAAGAACAAGGTGTGCCTCACATAAGTCATGGTATTTTCAGTTGCTTCATATACGTGTGAAGGTCAGATAATGAGTGAGGAAGACTGGAGGAGAGTCGAGGCCTTTCAAGTGTGGTACTGGTGGAGAGTATTGATTATACTCTGGATTGCCAGAGCAACACGTCTTAGAGGAAGTGCCTCCAGACTTCTTAGAAGTAAAGATGGAAACCTTGTGTCACATACTTTGAGTATGATATTCAGAGGGGCCAGTCCCTGGAGAAGGACCTCATATTTAGTAGAGAGTCAGTCATAGAGAGGAAGACCTTCAGTGAGATGGACTCACACCCGGTGGCTGTGGTCGTAGTCTCAGGTACATCAGGGATTGTGAGGACTGGTCAAGGGCACATTCTGTTGTGCTTCAAGGATATGAATCGCAGCCAAGCTTTTGACGCCCAGCAGCAAGAGTGATGTTTTCTTTTTGGTTGTGTTTTCTTCTCTAATTTTATCCCCACAACTTACACATATTATTTATCTGATAATAAAATAATAATGTTTTATCAGGTCTGTAAATCAATTCTAAATAATTCTTTTAAATGCAAGCAAAACACATTTTAAAGTGAGTAACTTGAAGAGACATTCCTCTGGTACTCCCTGCTTTCAGCTAAGATCCATCTAACATCAGCTACAATATCCCTAGTACCACGACCCCTTCTAAACCCAGCCTGGACTTCTGGCAGT